CCCTTTCTTCTCAGGAAGCTTATGTGATGGCTAGTGTTGACAATCCTCATGTGTGCCGCTTGTTAGGAATCTGCCTCACTTCTACTGTTCAGCTCATCACACAGCTGATGCCTTACGGCTGCCTCCTTGATTACATCCGAGAGCACAAGGACAACATTGGCTCCCAATACCTTCTCAACTGGTGTGTGCAGATTGCAAAGGTAAGCGGACTGGTATATCTCCAGATCAGCTAAAAACTCAGAGATCTGACAGCATGTAATGTATTTATTTACTTACCTGTCTCTGTAAATCTTTCTATTTCACTACTTGGATTTTAGGTAACTTATACATGACAGTAAGCAGTGACTTTGTCTTAGACAATTAACCATTTTCAGGCTGACAAGCAAACCTTAATCATTCTTCAGAATGCTCCTAGATAGTGATATTATCATCCAAGACATTTATGGTCAAACCAAACACCCAGTATTGAAATAGTAATGTGATGTAACAGAGGGAGCAGGGAAGAGAATAGAATTTGGCAATTCCCATAGCAAAATGCCACTTTCATCAATGGATTTCTTTGGGCTGTGTCAGAGGACAGTGATGTTGTTGAATATGCCTTTGTGTGTGCCTTGGAGAATTTCAGGCTGAAATCTCTGAGACCTGGGGATCAAAACTGCTGATTAATTAAATGCCAGCTCCATTCTTGCACAGGATGGCTGTGAAAACATTCAGGCACCCCAGAGCTGTTATGTAATTTATAGGCACCGAGTTGCTCTCTGTAAGCTAACTACAATGGCCATAGAAGACCCACTATCACACCTGGTAGTGTTTGCCAAAGAGCAGCAAAAGAGACTGAAGTACAGACTCTAACCCTTAGCAGCAATATGCTGTGTTAGCTATTTGCGAGTGTGGAAGAATGGAGCAAAACCAGAAAAAAAATAACTGCAGTTTGTTGAAGAGTCATCATCTGAGACAGAAGCATCCACAATAAAACCAGGAAAAAAATAACTGCAGTTTGTTGAAGATTCATCATCTGAGACAGAAGCATCCACAAAGTCCATCTGCTTTAGTGCTTCTTATTTCAGGAATGCTGGTCTGCAGGCTAACCACACACTTAAAACCTTATTGGTCCCTTGAGGCTTTGTATACATCCCAGGCTCACCCAGCAGTGGTTTGCTGTCAGGAAACATGCTGAGGACCTCAGAAATATATCCACCAAAAGTCTACAGAGCACATTTTTCATCTCAGTGTGTGTACTTTTTTTACGCTGCCCTCTGCAACAAGTGAATTTTAATTTATGTGTCCACCCAGGATGTGGGCTGCCTTTTTCTGACTCTTTTGCTCTGTTGTTTAAAAATCAATTACTGCTCTGTCCTGGAAGATGAGCTGGAGGCCACATTTCCCTCCTCCTTCTTCTCCTTGTTAATATTTAAGGTGGCAAAATAGGACCCCAGATGGATCCTTGGGGCATCACTTGCCCAAAAGGTTGCCATTCACAATTATTAGCTTCTGTTTGATGTTTTCAGATCAGTTCAACATGTGCCTATAGCAATCTCTACCCTTGCCAGTGATGCCTGACCTTCAACATACTCCTTTGTGCTGCTCCACACTGAAATTCTCCTCCAAGCACACGTAAATCATGCATACAGCTTTTTCCCACCAATGTGCGTGGTGTTACTACTCTGATAAAGTCATGCCAGATTTTTGGACATTCTCTGACTCTTCAAAAACATACTTTTGAGGGGAAAAAAACTGAAACAAATATATGCCTGGTAACTAACCAGTAGGAGGCAAGTTCCCTGGGAAGCTTATTTTTATTTCTGTTTTTACAGCTTTGAACTAAGTTTTCTTTGCATCTTTTACAAACATTGTCTTTCACTGAGGTATGGAGTCCTATCTTTCAGACAAGCTGTTGTGAAAAAACATAGACTCTCCATGTGCAGAAACACTGTGAAGGAACAGTTTGAACACATTGGACTGATGCTTAATGATGAAAAATGGCTTAAACCCAGGCCTGCACACAATTAAAGATCTGCTGAACTTTCTAGATGAGCAGTTCAACATTTTCAGTGTGGTTATGCATGTGCCCAAGAATTTCAGCCATCAGCGTCTTAAACTGATGTGTGAAACTGATATTCTGCCTTTCAGCAGCTCGGAGTCTTATTAGTCTCTGCAACAAGTCATGTTTATTGTAAGAAAAAATAAGAAATTTTTTGTCCTACTGGAGCTAGATTACAGGATTTTTTTTTTAAAGTAGTCTGTTTTCTGTCAGCAGCTCAAGAGTTTTTGTTTCAAGAGCTCTGCTTTTTAAAGATCTATTTGTCTAATGCAATGCACTCTCATAGTGGCACGGTGCCAGTTTGTTTGGGTGGTTTGTTTTGGCAACATTAGCAGCACATGGGTGAAGTACTGCTGAGGGACTTGGATGGAGGATTCCATGGTGGTCCAGGTTAGCAGTGGGCTTAGGAAGTGGGTGGAGGCTGGAATGCAATTATTCCCGCTAGCCCTCTATCATCAACATGATTATTTTAGTGTTAGCCAAATTAATTCTCTTCATAAAAATAGAAGTGCATAAGCTACTGCCAGCAGAAACCTGTGGACTGGGAATAATTGTGGGGTTTGGAAAACATATTGCAGGAAACTTGGAAATCGTGAACTTTTTGATTCCATACACCAAGAGACTGGTGTTGAGGGAAAGGGGAATAATCTCTGTGGTCAGACACACAGCTGTTAGATTTATGCTTTAGAAGTCCAACTGGTACAATTAGTTGTATTTTTCCTCAGGAGGGAGTTGTATCAAAAAAAGCACGTATGCTAGGGCAAATGCAGCCCAATCACAGGAGGCAGAGAAACAGGAAGAACTTGCCTTTTTCAAAGACAACTTGAAAACGGATGAAACTCTGAGCTCATACATAAAATGAATTTTTTTTCTCATTTTTTCACCTTTTGTGATGGGCTGCCTCATCATTAGCATAATTTTTTTCCTCATTTTTTCACCTTTGTGATGGGCTGCCTCATCATTAGCAGAGAGAAGGCAGAGTACGCTGTAATAAGGCACAGTATCACCAAATGATTGTCTCAATACTCTCTATAGGGTTGGCCTGCATACATATGGAAGGACTGTAATAAGGCAAAGTATCACCAAATTTGAATGATTGTCTCAATACTCTCTGTAGGGTTGGCCTGCATACATATGGAAGGTGATAGTTAAACTATATACTATATCTGCTACTGTCTCTTTTTCCTTCATTGCTGCACTAGTTCATGGAGCTACAGGAAGGTCCCTGGAGGGTAACAGTTATTTCTCCATGTAACTGTGCGAGCATGCATCCTGCAATAAACATGTGGCTTTTTATTATTTATATTTTTATATAATTTGTTTTTATACTAATAATTTATATTAAAAATCAACATTTTAAATCTAAAATTTAAATAAGTTTTTTACGGCCATGTAAATTGAAACAGCCAGCCTTTGGCTGGAGGTGGGATAGGTTGCCATGTGTTTTCAGTGGTGTGTGTAGTTACCACAGAGCAGCTGAAGTTTGCTGACTTACTTGCACATTCAAGCTCAAAGCGTGCGATGCCTACCAACAGTGTGTTGTATTGCAGGGTATGAACTATTTGGAGGAACGTCGCCTGGTGCACCGTGACCTTGCTGCCAGGAACGTCCTCGTTAAGACTCCTCAACACGTGAAAATCACGGACTTTGGGCTGGCAAAGCTGCTGGGTGCTGATGAGAAGGAGTATCACGCTGAGGGAGGCAAGGTAAAGCACATCAGAGAATGAACCACTGTGCATTTGCTGGTGTTTGTGCTTGTGCACAAGCTTTAAACAAAGGAGAGGAAGAAAGTGTGTTTTTCAAAGTGCTCAGCTGCTATCTCAGCATGCTGCCTTTGAAGCCTGGGGAAGTCCTCTGAAATCAGCCAAATCAACATCAGGCCAGTGGGACTGCAGTGGGAACAGAGGTAGGAGAGCAGCAGATGCTTTTGAAATTCCCACCCAGAATGTCTGGGAAAAAGCAAGATTATGAAAAAAAAAAAGGCACATGACTGAATTCATCAGTGTAACCAACACCAATAACCCTGAGCAGTTTGTAAAGAGAAAGGGAATGTTGTATATTTATAGCAGAAGAAAGACCTGTCAGACTTGGTTAAACATGCCTTCGTGTTGTACTACGTGCTGATGGAGGGAATGTGTCCTGCTGAGAAATTAAAGACAAGCTGCTTGCAAATTTTGCTGAGACCATAAATGGAAACCATATGAGTGTAGATCAGTCTTTGTCATGTAGCTTAAGATTGGATTTGTGTCCTGATAGAAGGTTTAAAAAGTCGTTATTTGACTGTTAAAAATATTGCAAAACTTTTTGTAAGAGATATTTCTAATGTCTAATATTCCACATGTTCTCAGGTTCATCATAATATATGAAAATAATAAGAAAGGACTCAAGAGTTTCCTGCTCTACCACTCAGATAGTTGTGTTTGTTGTTTTTCTTCCTTCTTCAATGAAGCTGTTGATTTACTCACATCCGATGGTAAATATCACTGATAAATCTGAGGGCAGCCTCTTAAGGGTTCTTTGTGAATTTTCCTAGGTTCCAATTAAATGGATGGCCTTGGAGTCAATTTTACACCGGATTTATACTCATCAAAGTGATGTCTGGAGTTATGGTGAGTTTAAAAGCAACTAAAATTATTGCAGATGGGTTGGAAAATTGCAGGATTTGCTAGTGACTCTACACAGGCCTCTTTTCTATTTTGGGAAGAATAAGAGATCAGATATAAACACTGGACCCAAATCACCTGTTCAGCAAAGTAAAATTCCCATGAAACTGCATGTTAGTGAGGTGTAAGATGTTTTGCAAAATATGCTTTCAGGTAATGAGCCCACCCCTGAAAGGGGCTGCAGATAGGGCACTGGCCTATTTGCTGAAGTTCTGCTGATGCTTTTCTTCAGCACCCTCACATGAAATATCATTGAGCCAACAATAAAGCCACTAAACTAGAAGGTGTTAAAACCATCAGCCACATGTCAGACAGTGTCAATCAGTGTAAATCTGCTGTGGCCTAAAATGCTTGTGCTGTCCTCGTATTGTAGGGCAACGCTAAAAGGGAAGCAAAGTGATAACCTCTGTAGAGCATTTATTTTGTGTTGGGTATGGTTCATAAGCTGCTTGAAAGAAAAGAGCAGAAAGGAAACAATTTATTTTGTTTTGGGTATAGTTCATAAGCAGCTTGAAAGAAAAGAGCAGAAAGGAAACTTTGCAAAACAACCTATTGCAAAATTCTACCTGCCCCGCCCCCTGGGCTCATATATTCCTGGAAAATATTTAATGCAGATGGTCAGATCCTGTGTCCTTTTCAAAAAAGTACAACTTCTGGTCCTGTTAATCTATTTATGTATCTTGGCATCCAAAATGCTGTTTTGTATCCTAAGCTACTAGACAATCACAACAGCTACATCACAGGAGTCCATGGTATGTCAGCAAATGACACTGAGGCAGCTGGTTTACACATCTTTCAAAAACTGCTTTTGCTCATCTCCAAAGAGATTGTTTTCAAACAAAAAGACAACTTCCATTTTTAAAACCACTTGGTGGGTTGGAGTCAGGAAGCAGTGACCTGCATTTCCTTTCTGTGGGGCTGGAAGTTTGTGGAATGCTCAACACTAAGATATTAGGTGAGATTTTAAAAAAAAAAAAAGGAAAAGTGAAGGAAGCGAAACCTTAAAGGATATCAGGATAATTTCAAACTGTTGTCTACAGTCATGGCAGAAAATGCTGTCTCTGGTTGGGGCTCTGGCAATGCAGTGCCTCTCTGCTCTCCTCCTCTCTGCATCCAGGCCAAGCAGCTCATCTCCTGGCAAGGTCTCTTTCATGGTCTTCTCTTCCCACCCTGCAGGTGTGACAGTCTGGGAGCTGATGACATTTGGGTCGAAGCCATATGATGGGATCCCTGCCAGTGAGATCTCCTCGGTCCTGGAGAAGGGCGAGCGCTTGCCCCAACCTCCTATTTGTACCATCGACGTGTACATGATCATGGTCAAATGTGAGTTCACATTTGGGGTTGTGGGTGCTCATCTAAGTTGAGTAAGCAGCACAGTTCATTAGGTTGCATTTGTATATGCTGTGGTCTTGGTAATGGCACAGAAATAGGGCTGTGTGAACAGAGTGGTGGCACCAGAGTGTGTTCCCACACCTTGAGCTTTACCTTGGAGCATTAGTCACTAATTCAACCAAATTATGTTTTTTCACAATTCACTCCACTGTTTGATATTGTCAATTATTTTTAACTGATATGGTCAGGCAGTATAAATTAGCAGAACACCAACCACTTTACCTGATACTCTGATTTTGTATGTCTAGAAAATAAAATGAACACTGCCTTCTCCTCCAGGATCCCACTTAGTTCAGAAATATGCCTTCCTGTGCAATCACACACGTGGATTATGTGCTCCTTGTACTAAAGGAGTGCCAGGAGCACAGGCACTACCATAATGGCAGATACACATGAGGATCCAGAGTTCCTCTTACAATTTCTTCCTCATTTTTGGATGGCCCCTTTTTGGCACACAGCTGTTGCAGTGAAGAAGGTCAAGAGCAGAGTCTTCGAAGCACTTTTCAGCCATTTTATGGCATGTCAAAGGGCTTCTGGACCTCAAACCCCCTTTCCATCTATATCAGGTGCTAAAATGTCAGATTATTGCCTGGCTGTCCAAGCACCTCTGGGCCAGGACTGCCACATCCCTGCTCGCTGCTGTGAGAATGCTGATAAGCAGCCCACTAGGTGGCATTTTAGACCTTCTCACTAGAGCAGCATGTGCCTACTCCTGAAATCAGAGCCATGCTACCATGAACACTCTGTAGTGCAGCGCTTTGGAGGAATCCTGGAGCATCCACATGTTGCTGTGTTCAGAGAGGCATCACACAAGGTGAGCTTGAGCCTGTGCTCAAAAGGACAAGCAGGAACTGCCCCAGATGTGTGCACCTAGCCTGGGAGATGCCCAGGCCCCAAAGTAGTGTCCTAGAAACAGAAATGCTGAACCCTACTGACACCTCAGCTTTTCATTAGGGTCAGTGCAGATGTAGAAAGGAGGCATTTTTCCAGACTCCTAATCAGGTACCTGTTGCTTTTAAAACACAACCAGTGAAGTGTCCCCATCCCTTTTCATACTGTTACACTGAATTTAAATGCAAGAGTGTGAGGATTTGGGGTCTGAGCCTTCCTTCTGGTGCAGGACTCTGTTGCATATCTTTCACTGCTGTGATCACCCCATGCTTGCAGACTATGGTGCAGACCCTTTTGAAGTTGTGCCATTTTGTCTAATGGATTCCCAGTCACCTTATTTATATGCAGAGAGTATGAGCTGAAATGTTCAAAGTTATTGCATAATTTTATTTTGTTTTATTTAATAAACTGCATTTAAACATAGGCAACACAGAGCTAAAGTCAGAAACAGCAGCTGGTACTGCTGCAAGAACAGCAAACTCCCAAATGCTTGACTCTGTCTAAAAGCAAGAAGGAATTATTCTTGAATTAGCAGGGGATCATATTTAAAGCATAGTAAAAGGTCACTGGAAATTATGAGATTTTGTCTAATGCAGATGCCTTTGTCTTCATGCAGATTTCAGATGACCTATTAGCACTTCATTTCTCCATTACTATGGATAGGCTGTTTCTTAAGAGTTCCCCTAGACACACTAAGATTGACCTTTATTATCTTTAATTTTGAACACAGAAGTCTCTAGATCAGCTCATCTGTTAGCTGATAACAGAAAATGTGGGTTTCCTAACTAATCTCACATGTAAAACCACCAGTATCCTATATTCTAAATCTCTTGTAGTATTCATCCACACTAAGCTGTAAGACTTGTTTTGTTAAAGTCTATTTACTAATTAAATACAGCTTAGATATAGTTAATCTTTCAAAATGTCCCCAATGAGGATGTTCTGAATTTTAGAAGACATCTGGTACAGAGGGAAGCTTCTGCTGTAGGCCCTCCCAGGACTTCATGAAGCAGTGCCTTTACTGTTAGATAGTCAAGTCATGGTACCTGTGCACAAACCCACTGATGTCCATTTACTTCCTCTCTTTCAAGAGCTTAATTGGATTATCTGTCAGGTGGGCCCTGCCTGCCCACATGGAGATAGGCAATCAAGAGAGGAGACAGGCTCAGCCTGGAGCTTTTCCAGTGTGGGCTTTTATGACCTCTTTCCTTCTTCCCCAAACTGCCAAGATCTACATTTTAAATGCTGAGATTCACACCAGTGACTGGTGAATGAACTTTTTATGGTGGTCCCTTAGGGGTAGCTCCTTTCTTTGTTCCACACATGGCACTGCTCTCTTTGCTGTTACACTGTGTTTGAAACTCCATGTTTCATCACTGAAACAACTTTATTTGTGCATTGCTTTCCCTTCAGGCTGGATGATCGATGCCGACAGCCGCCCCAAGTTTCGTGAACTGATAGCAGAATTCTCAAAAATGGCCCGTGACCCTCCACGCTATCTCGTTATACAGGTACTGACCCCAGTGTTGGGGATATGTGTGAGGAGCATTTAATGAGGCCCAAAATTATTAGTAGTGCTTATGAAAACATATAATATGGATAATTTAAGGCCAGATTCATTGTTGCTTTGCAGGATTTAACACGGTTGGCTTGAGCCACACACAGAATATCGAGACTGGTCACTATTTTCTTAGTACTAGTCCCAGTATAGGACCAGCAACAATCCCTACTGTAGCCATGAGAGGAGGACAGAGTTTGACCCTCTTCAAAATCCAGCTGTTTTGCAGCAGCATGAGATTGCAGGCCCAAATTCCCCTGAACTCTAGGTAAATTTGGTTAAACACACAGATCAAGATTTTCCATCTTGGGCCTCTTTGTCTCTCAGTGAAGGGGATAATGAGGACTTGAAAGGAGTCTACAAGTCCTCTCTCATTCTGACTTTTCTCACAGGGAGATGATAGGATGCACCTGCCCAGCCCTACAGACTCCAAGTTTTATCGTACTCTAATGGAGGAGGAGGACATGGAAGATATCGTGGATGCGGATGAGTATCTTGTGCCACACCAGGGCTTTTTCAACAGCCCTTCAACATCCCGCACTCCTTTCTTGAGTTCATTGGTACGAAACTTTTCATCCGTTAAAACATGACAAGAAATGTTAGCAGGGAACTGCTTCTCATTATGTCTGTATTTTCTTTCTGTCTTTTAAGAGTGCTACTAGCAGCAACTCTGCTACAACCTGCATTGACAGAAATGGGGTAAGTGGAATGACCTTTAAAAAAGGTCCTCCTGCGTGAATCGACTTCTACAATATGGTGCCTTTAATATTTTGTCTACTTTCATCCTAGCAGGGGCACCCTGTGAGGGAAGACAGCTTTGTCCAGAGGTATAGCTCAGACCCAACAGGCGCTTTCTTGGAGGACAGCATAGATGACAGTTTCCTGCCAGTTCCAGGTGAGAACCCCTCCTGTGTTTCCATCCTCATTCACAAGTCATCTGGTTGTAAATAAAATTGTTGCCCTTCCTTTTCTGTAGAAAGGAAGCAATTCAAATACTTTCTACTTTTTTTTTGCCCAGTAACTGGGAGTGGAAATATGTGCACATATCCTTTTCCTAGACTTTATTGGGCTGCTTCTGCCCATTTCTCATTTCAGTTACCTCATGAGCCAGGTTCCTCATGTGTGCCATCTAGATAGGAGAGTTTGAGCGTGTGATTTTATGTTTAAAGCTTTCTGCTTGGGAAAATATCCTCTAAATATGGAATTCACCCCTTAAAACATTTCAGCAATATAAAGAGCTTTATGATAGTTTCACTGTCTTCAGAAGTTGTTCCACAGAAGGCAGTTCATGGTTTCATGTGGACTTACAGTGTAGGCAGTCAGAGAGCAAGCCAGTGAGCACTGAGGGAGATGGTGCTGAGTTATGCAGTCATGATGATTTGTGTCCTTAAAAGATCCTAACCAACCATTCCAAGAATATGCCATAGTTAAAAAGGGTAAAAGGTCCTGTGAACATTGAAGTGAAACGTAGAGCCTGTTACTGCCATTCCTGTATTTTCGAGGCATTTTCCTCATCTCTAAACATTTTTTTCTAGGGAAACAGCTTCTGGCAGCTAAGCTCCCAGACTGCCATTTCAGAACACTATCTGGGATGTAGCCACCTACCTGTCACTAAAATCAGCAGTAGCTGTCTTGCTGTCTCATAGTCCAAGCCATCTTTCTGCTAGTTTGCAAACCAAATTTCTGAAGGTGAACCTCAGGACAGCACATTTGGTGCCACGGAATGGCAGTCCCTGCCTTTGGCTCTTTTCCACTCCAGGAAGTTTTGTGCTGTGCTGTGCCCAAAGAGCAAGTGGCAGCCGGGGTGAAACTACACATCAAATGGCTGCATTAGTTTTGTCTTCATTTTCATTCCTTCTCATTTTTGTTTTCTTTTTATTCTAGAATATGTAAACCAGTTGATGCCCAAGAAAGCATCTGCTTCAGCAGTCCAGAATCCAATCTACAACAACTTCTCTCTCACAGGAAACTCAAAGGTCCCCACAGACTCCAGCTACCAGAATTCACACAGCACAGCTGTGGACAACCCTGAGTATCTCAACACTAACCAGTCTCCACTGGCCAAGACAGTCTTTGAGAGTTCTCCTTACTGGATCCAGGCAGGCAACCACCAAATAAATCTGGACAATCCTGACTACCAGCAGGACTTCTTACCGAAGGAAAACAAACCTAATGGTCTCTTGAAAGTTCCTGCAGCAGAAAACCCAGAGTACTTGAGGGTAGCAGCACCGAAAAGTGAATACATTGAAGCCTCTGCATGACCATAGAGAATTTCTTCTTGCAGCAAGGCAAGCCAGACTTTAAGAGGACTACCTGACTGCTGCAAGAACAGACTCTGGCTCAGAGCAAATGGCAATTGCAATGCACAGTAAGCACACCTCTCCTTTCCAGTAAGGGGGCTGAAACTGCAAAGCCTGTCTGACAGTAGTTTGAGTCTTCTCTTGCCCATTTCCATGTAATAACTGATGCCCATAGCTTGCACTTGGATGCATATTGGGATGGATCAGGATCTTCCTGGACTGAAGAAATACGGATGCATTCCTTTAATTTTCTAACGGTAGCATGGTAAAAAGCCACTCTGGGATGAACTTGAGAGCTGTACACATTGTACAGTCAAATTCCTTTCTACAGTCTGTATTTTTATAAATATTTCTAACAGAAATTTTGGATCTTTTACAAGATCAGATGCTTGTACTGCTGATCTGCTACGTGGTGCTCAGATCACCAGCAGGGAAAAAAAAGTTGCTAAATAGTTTTCCAAAACTCCTGGAACAGAAACAGCTATTCTAAACCACCGTATTTTTACAAATTGGATCCATATACTGCCTTTTGACCCAAAGATGAGAAGTGCATCTGGGGGACATATGGGAGATTCTGCCCAGGGCAGTATGGAGTGGATCGCTCCAGGGAAAACTATCACAAGCAGCAAAATGGCACAGCACATCACCTGCTGACCACTACTGCTGAAAACTGACAGGAGGAACTCACCTCAAAGTCATCTATACATGGTTAAAAGTGCTCACTAGTCTGTTTTCTGATGGTCAAACCCAAGACTTTTTGTTTTCTGATCCCTTACACAGCTGTCAAGTTGTCAAAATGCCTTTCTTCACCAAAACTGTTAAAGATGTTGCCATAACTGAAAAATGAAGTGTCAAATCATGTTTAACAGACTTAATTAAGTGTCAAGGAAATGCAAATGGTGGCAAATTGGAGCACTCACAAGACAGACTGGAAGAACTAACACTAAATTAAACCTGACTAGGGCAAGAAACACAGGTAGCCCTAGCCAAGCAGTTTTATTTCCCTTCTTAAAGGGGCTCAGAACAGAAATCATTTTCCCTTAGACATTTGGCAAAGAAAAGGGGTATGTCAGTGTTACACTTTACTCACTTAAAGGCAGACTACTGCCAATTGCTGTACCATGCTGGGGCAGAGGTTAAGGCAGTTACATGTCCCTTTGGAGTTACATATCCTGGCAAGACAGGAGGGGCCATGAGAGTGCATTAAGGAAAGAAAGAATAATCTGGAGTGATGGAAAATATTACCTCCCTCTTCTTAAACACAGAGCCTACCTACTGTTTTTTTAAAATACAAAGCATCATCTTCTGGTTATCAGTGTGGTATAGGCAAGTGAGGCAAGATTTTAGCAAAAGCAGCTACTCTTTCTAGTGACACATAAAATTATTCCATCATTAACATTTCTCATGAATGTAGGAGAAGTAAAGTGCCTAAAATGTGAATTTAGTCAGTCATTTAGATGCATCCCACCAGCAGCTTGGCAGTGCTATTTTAATCAAACCACTAGATCAGAAAGCAAATGCACATTTTGGGACAAAGGCCTTTAACTAGTTGAACGTTGGCAACTTGCTTGAGGGGATCATAAGCAGCTGACTTGTAGAAGATCTGTATTCTATATTAACTAGCAAAGACTAGTCAAATTTACGCCACCACTGTGTTTTGAATACAGCCATGTGTGTTTCAGTTGAAGTGTTGAATCTGAAGTCCAGGATCAAGCAGCAAATCCTTAGAACACAGCTTTTACAGATTTATTGAAATGTGCCATTGTGAAATGACCCCTTTTATAAGTAACATGCTGTAAAACACATTGCAGCTTGAGTTTGTGCAGTAGCTCACGGGCCACACTGCAGTCTAGGGTAAAGCAGCATATTGGGTCAGAATTCAAAGATTGTCCTGTTTGGTAGATGTGTCTTACTGTGATTGAGTCCCAGGCACAGTGGTATGGAGGATGCAGTGTTTGACTTTGATTATTAGTGGCTTGAATTTAAAACAGTAACCAAAATTCAGTTCCCACATCCAATTAGTAGCAGATTTCTCCTTGCATTCCTGAGAGCAGATTTGTTGTGTTGCTCTCACAAGCATGCAACATGTATGAACAGGCAGCGCTGCTTTTCTCCACCCACCGCCCTGGGAGAAATGTACATAAAACTAAAAAAAGATCTTAACAGGATTCATAGATAATTTTTCAATTTGCCAAATCTGTTATGTCTCCAGGCAGAACACTAGAAAATTACATAGTACATGTTCTCTCTCGAACACTATTGCACAAAGGAATTTATTGATGGTTTGGTTTAATCTTTTAGTTAAAACAAGAAAGCCACTGAGAAGCAGCAATATATATTACCAGCATTATGTAGCATGAAAATTATTAAATAGAGGTTAATACTCTTGCCCTTTTAAAACAATTTATGAGGGATTCAGTAGCAATTCATTGTTAGAAACAAGGAGATTAATCAAAAAAATTAAGCAATGCAAGTTTGAAAGAGCATCACTGAATGTTATGTTTTTGGTAAAGAAAGTAGGAAACAGGATATAGGACCACAAACTTGATACAAATGTAGATTCCAGATTGCTAGGGTCAGCTATAATTGAAAATATTTCTAGTGAATAGGAATTCTATAAGGCATGATTTGTAAATTAGCAGCTCTAATGATTCAAAAGCCTGCAAAAAAAGAAAACTGGGTAGTGCCTGCAGGGGCAGATACAGTGGCACCAGTAGCGGATAGGACTGCACAGCTATGTGGCTGTGAGGGGTGATGCTCGTGGGGTAACAGACAATATATATATCCACCAAGATTAAAAAAAGAACCAATAAGCAGCTGAAATGTCCTGGTTTTCCCACTGCAGATCACTGCACATTTATCAGTAAGGAAACCTCTGCAGATAATAGGGCTTATACAGGCAAACACAGTTAAGCAGCACAAACCAACATCACAAAATAATTTGAAAGTTCAGCTGGAGGTGTGGGTAGAAAAGCTTGATTTTAAAAATGAAAATAAATAGGGAAATGTAGCATTCCACAGCCACTTTGGAACCCTACCAATCTCACCAGTCAAGACAATTAAAATTTCCCTTTCTACTGTATTTCTCATGGAAGGCAAAATAAAATACTCACAAGTTAGTGCTTAGCACCTGTCATTAGGCAGCTACTCCTTTTGCAATAATAATTTAAGACTTTTAATAACTGCTAAGTGTATAAAAATATAAGTTAAGTCAAGAGTCTTCAGCTTGCTTTGATGTTTTCCAGTGATTGTGTGCAGTGTCAGCACACTTGACTTCATTTTGGCCCTTGGGTTGTTTTCTTCTGCTGCAAAGGGAGTTGGCCTGGGAAATTTCCTTCATGTTGCAGTTGGTCTTGTTGACTAAATTCATCAAGAGGCCAGGGGCTTGCTTCTTTCCAACTGACAGACAACACTGCAATGAGTTTTCTAGAGTGAGCGGTTGAAATTAAGTGGTGGTTTCTGCAATGCCTCGGGGTGATGCCCCATCCCACCAACCTCACCATCAGATGGCCACATCAAGCCCTGGCATTAGAAAATGTGGCCTCATGGTTTATTTGAAAGGAAGGGGCTTGTGTAGGAAGAGTAATGCCAGGGAAGGGCTGCAGTTGGCCAATCCATACCCAAGACAGCTGCTGAATTTGCCCAGGGACATCATTGAGGCCACTGACTTTTTCTGCAGGTATGGGTGGCTCCTGTCCCTGCTACCAGCTTGATGTGTAGCCCTCTTGCTGAGATTGCTTGTGCAAAAGCCAATGTACATGGCATTCATACTGTAGGTTGTGTCTCTTCCCTGGGAGATGTAGCTAGGTTTACAAGTGTCACAGGACCTTGAACAGCTTAAAGAGGTCCTGTCACAAGGTGCCCAGGGTGTCCTCGGTCTGTCTGCAGGTGCTCCAGAGTGCCAAGGAGAAACTTTGCATTTCCAGACAAGCACTCATTTTTCACATTCAGAGTTCAACATCTTCTATGAGTATGACCACTGCTTCTCAGATGAGCAGTTATGGTACTCTGGCTTTTGTTTCCCTCTGCATTTCTCTCTAAGAAAACATCTGAATCAGGACGAAGTATGAAAATGTACCTGTGACCTGCTTCTTGATGGAAATAATTACTTATGAAATGTTTAACTCTGTGTATACTTAACCAGAATGTTTTGTAATGTTTTATCACCACTGGTTCAAATTTTTATATTGGGAATCTATTTTCTAGCTGTCTTTTTATAAGTGTTCCCTCTTTGTCCTGACTTACAACTTTCATGGAGTCTTTTTAAAATAATAAAGAAAATAATAGAAAAAAATTTATACAAAAGAAAAACATGATACCTTCAAGTAGCTTGTCAAATGGGCTGCATTAGGACCAAAGATGTAATGTCTTGTTTTCTTGCTTTGAAGGAATAGGGTATTGACCACCACTTCTACAGCCTCTTATTACAGAGAAGAGCCACAGATCTCCACTCTTCATTGGGGCTGGGTCAACTTCCACTGAGCCAAGAGAGCTTGGTAGGAGGATGAGGCCTGTCCATAGAAAACCAAACCAAATATCAGGACCAGGTATCACTTCAGGGCCAAACCTACAACCTCTACTCCATATTGCACTAAATGCAATATATAAACAGGGATACAGTCAAGCAAAAAAAAAAAAAAACAAATACATGATGTTTTGGCTCAGTAGCAGAAAAAAATACGGTGATGTGAAGATGAGACATGATGAGATAACTGGTTTTTGTGTAAAGAAGTGTGTAGTCAGGCAGTGAGACTTTAAACCAATAACACTTTTGGTTATGTGTTATGTTAACTATGCAGGGGTGTTGAAATCACTGCGCTTCCATATCAGGCTTTACTTTCTGCCTCATGTCCTGCCAGAATTTGATGTCAAGTGTTTAGGCAGATCACCTGTATTTCTATGGCCATGTGGACTGAGAATTGCCAGTTGGTACAACCCCTTTTTTTATGCAGGGGGACAAAAGTATGGCAATAGCATCCAAAAACGGGTTTCCCGAAGGAAAAAAATTAATAACTGGAGACCTAGGTGGCACAAGACACACCACTTGTGACAC